GATTTTCTGAAAGAACCAGCTCTTGGTTTCATTGATTCTTTGAATTGTTTTCTTGCTAGTTCATTGATTTCAGCCCTGAGTTTGATTATTTTCAGCCATCTACTTCTCTTTGTTATGTCTACTTCTTTTTTTCCTAGCGTTTTTAGGTGAGCCGTTAAGTTGCTTGAATGAGATGTTTCGAATTTCTTCTTGAAGGCACTTAGTGCTATGAACTTTCCAGTTAGCACTGCTTTCATTGTGTCCCACAGGTTTGGGTTGTTGTGCCTTAATTTTCATTGAATTCTAGGAAGACTTTAATTTCTTTATTTCTTCCGTGACCCAGGTGTCTTTTAGTAGCGAGTTGTTCAGTTTCCATTTGTGTTTAGGCTTTTTGCTATTTCTGTTGTTGTTGAGGTCCAGCTTTAGTTCATAGTGATCAGATAGGATACAAGGGATTATTTCAATCTTCTTGTATCTGTTGAGGCTTGTTTTGTGCCTGGGTGCCTGGTCTATTTTGGAGAAGGTTCCATGAGGTGCTGAGAAGAAGGTAAATTCTTTTGTATTTGGGTGTAAGGTTCTGTAAATATCTGTTAGGTCCATTTGATTCATGACCTCTGTTAGAGACATAGTTTCTTCGTTTAATTTCTGTTTTGTTGATCTGTCTTTTGTTGAGAGTGGGGTGTTGAAGTCTCCCACTATTAATGTGTGGGGATCTATATGTGGTTTAAGTTTTATTAATGTTTCTTTTACAAATGTGGGTGCCCTTGTATTTGGGGCATAGAAGTTCAGGATTGTGATGTCTTCCTAGTGGAATTTTCCCTTGATGAGTATGAAGTCTCCTTCCCCATTTCTTTTTATTAATTTTGGTTGAAAGTCTATTTTATCAGATATTAGAATGGCTACTCCTGCTTGCTTCTTGGGTCCATTTACTTGGAAAGCCATCTTCCAACCCTTTATCCTCAGGTAATGTCTATCTTTGTGACTTAGGTGTGTTTCCTGTATGCGACAGATTGCTGGGTTTTGTTTACTCATCCATTCTGTTAGTCTGTGTCTTTTTATTAGAGAATTGAGTCCATTGATGTTGAGAGAGATTAATGATCAGTGGCTGTTAGATCCTTTGATTCTGATGTTGGCTGTGGTCATACGGTTGTGTGCTTGGTTGCTTTTTGTTTTACTGTAGTGAGGTTAGTTATTTCCTGTGTTTTCTTGAAAGTAGCTAGTTTTCTTGGGTTGTATTTTCCATTCTAGTGTCTTCTGTAAGGCTGGATTTGTTTGTAGGTATTGTTGAAATTGGTTTTTGTCATTGAATATCTTGTTTTCTCTGTCTATGAGGATTGAGAGTTTTGCTGGGTATAGTAACCTGGGCTGACATCTGTGTTCTCTTAGGGTCTGCATGATATCCATCCAGGCCTTTCTGGCTCTCATAGTCTCTGTTGAAAAGTCAGGTGTGATTCTAATGGGTTTGCCATTATATGTTACTTGGCCTTTTTCCCTTGCAGCTTTTAGTATTTTTTCTTTGTTCTGTATACTTACTGTTTTGATTATTATGTGGTGGGAGGATTTTCTTTTCTGGTCTAATTTATTGGGTGTTCTGTAGGCCTCTTGTGTTCTTATTGGCCTCTCTATGTTGGGGAAATTTTCAACTATGATTTAGTTGAAAATATTTTCCTGCCCCTGGAAACGTGAATCTTCTTTTTCCTCTATTCCTATTATTCTTAGGTTTTGTCATTTCATGTTGTCTTGGATTTCTTGGATGGTTTATTTCAGGGATTTTTTTTAGAATTATTATTTTCTTTGATGGATACATCAATTTCTTCCACTGTATCCTCCATACCTGATATTCTTTTTTCCATATCTTGTAGTCTGTTGGTTATGCTTACCTCTGTATTTCCTGTTTTCTTTCCTAAGTTCTTTCTCTCTATGATTTCCTCCATTTGTGTTTTCTTTTCTTTTTTCAATTATATCTTCAGATCTTGCACAGTTTTGTTGATTACCTTCATCTGTTTGACTGTATTTTTCTTCAGTTCCTTCACCTATTTGTTTCAACATTGCTCTGTTTCTTTTATTTCTTTCAGTGATTTAATTATTTCCTCTCTGAAGGCCACAAACTGTTTGACTGCATCTTCCTTTATTTCTTTATGGAAGGCCATACTCTTTTTGACTTTATCTTCCTGTATTTCTTTACAGATGGCCACAGTCTGTTTGTCTTTGTCTTCCTCTATTTCTTTACGAATGGCCTTAATCTTTTGACTTTATTATCTTCTATTTCTTTACAGATGGCCATAATCTGTTTGACTTCATATTCCTCTAAGTCTTCATGCATTTAGTTGTTTCCTCCATTAACCTATTTATAAGCATAGATGTAAGGTCATCTTCTTGAATTTCACTTATGTTAGGGTATCCAGAGCTTCTTGCCCCTGGATAACTGGGTTCTGGAGATGCCATATTGCTTTGCTTTTTGTTGGTTGTGCTTTTATGGTAGCCTCTACCCATCTGGCTATCTCAGGTGTTGTCTGTTAATTTCTGGTGCCTGCTGGAATCCTAGAGTGGGGAGAATCTCCCTGACAGGGTTCTGAAGGAGGCCTTCTCAGCTTTTTGGGTATGGTCAACTGAATAGTGGTGCTTCTCAGGAATTGTCACAGTTCTCCTCAGGTGTATGGACCTGTGGTAATTGTGGTGTTCAGGAAGGCTCTCCTCTCATCAGGAGAAGTCCTACAGACAGCTACCCTGCTGCTGGATTTCTTGCTTTGAATTTAATGAGCTGGTGCTGCTGCTCTTATGCTGTGTTTGCTGGGCAAAGCCCGCTTGAAGAACCAGGGAGCCCCACGGTTGCATCAGTTTAGCTATGGGTAACTGGTCGCACCTTGGAGCAGTATCTGAGGACTGTTCCAGTGGCTCTCAGTCTTCTGTAGGTCCAAGGTTGGAGCTGTGTGCCCCAGTACCCTAGCCATAATCAATGGCAGGTGAGCATGGCACTCATGCATGCAGTAGAAGGCCAGAGCCTAGAGCCTGTCAGAATCCAGAAACTTTTTTGGAGCTGGTTTCCTGAAATTGGACCTGATGTTTCCCCCACTGTGGGGTTTCCTTCCAACAGGGACACCCAGACTGTGCTGTTTTGGTGTCCACAGCCGTCTGGGACTGTGAGTAGCAGGCGTGTGGCTCTGCCTTGCTGGTGACTGGATGACTGGGTGCCTGGGTGCCTGGGCACCTGCAGGAACTCAGGAGCTTTTCCAGAGAACTTTTTGCTGTGGGGGAGGGTTGTCGGCTGAGTGCTCTGAGGTCAGACCTGCTCACTGTGTGGTTTCCACCCGACAGAGAAACTCTCAGTCTCTGGTGCCCTGGGGCCCTCAGTTCTGTCTGGGATGGTGAGTTGGGCCCACAGGCAGGACACTGTGCTGGCAGCTGTGCACCTTACTCTGGGCTTGTGACTGGGCACCGCCAGACCCTGGGTCCTTTTCCAGGGACTGTCTGGGTGACTGAGGTTGGCACTGATTGCTTTCTGCACCGCAGGGTTTTCTCTCAACTGGAAATCCCTGTCTCTAGTGTTGTGGGGTCCACAGTTCAGTCTGGGATGATGATCAGAGCATGCTGTCATGTGGGTCTAGGCTGGTTACTGAGCACCTGACAGGAATGGGGAACTCTTCTGCAGTTTAGCTGGGTGACCTGAAGCCAATTGATTGAATCCCACACCATGGGGTTTCCTCTCACCTGGGAAACATGATCGCTGGTGTTTTAGGACCCAGAGTTCCATCTGCTGGTCACTGTCCAGACCCTGCTGTGCTGCTGGTCAGAAAGAGTGTTCTCCTGGTGCTGCCATCTTGGATCCACCCCCCACAACAATATTTCTTTAGAAATGGCAGCTTAGTGCAAGTCCCTATGGAATGCAACATGTACCTCAGTGGCAAAAGTCACTAATGTACCTGTGCATGAGGCTGTGTTGGTGAGTACTAAGGGAGTGTCTAGGAGAGCCTGGCAATGTATTACTGCTATTGAGGTGCTTGGCATCAGAAAATGCTATAGTCCATTGCATATCAGGACACTGGGGACCAGAGAAGTATCTACCACCCTGATGGCTTCCACCTTCCCCATTGATTCTTAGCACTCTATATGTTTTACATATGCTGACCTCTTCATGGTTGCTGCTGCTGCTTCCTCCTCCTCTTCTCTCTCTCTCTCTCTCTCTCTCTCTCTTCCTTCCTTCCTTCCTTCCTTCCTTCCTTCCTTCCTTCCTTCCTCCTCCTTTCTTCTTTTTCTCTACTCTTTTACTTCATGTTCTAATGGGACTCTTGAATCTTCCCTCAGGTTACTTTTGATTATGACTAAATAATTGAGCTGTTTTGCATCGTTAGATGACAGTGGTATTTTCTTCCCTACAACCTTACATCATTTTTCCCTCCATCTTCTCATAACAGCATTCATACTATTGGTTTACTGGTCACCTACACGACTGCACAAATGTTAAATGTTAATTCCTTCTTTAAAAGACCTATTTCCAAATATAGTCACATTAAAATGTGTTATGGCTTAGGATTCCAATAGTCAAATTTGGATGGAGACACAATTTTGTCAATAATGGATATGTAATAAAAATTTATGCTCTTTGTAGCAGCTTAAAAACACACACACACACACATCAGTTCTGAAGAAATTCCATCCTTTATAATAATTCCACCTCTTAAAAATTATTTGGTTTGCCAGGCATGATGGTGCACACCTTTGATCCCATTGGCTGACCTCTGAGTTCTAGGTCAGCCTGGTTTACATATTGAGTTCCAGGACTGCCAGGGCTATGTAAAGAGAGCCTATATCCAACAAAACAAAACAAAACAAAACAAAAATATTTTGGCTTGTAGTGTTAGTAAACAAACAATTTTTATAATAAAAATTTCACTGGCCATTTAAAAACAGATATTGCTATGGCATGTTTTATATGTCATTATTGTTTTGGTTGGAGCAAAATACTGCAATCTAAAAAAAAAATGTACAGCCAAATAACCAGTACTTAAATGATATATGCATACCTGACAACCAAAGGTAAATAGTATTTCCTAGATCTTCTTTAAAGTCATCATTGAAGAGGCCACTGGATTCTGGAAATGATTCCTGGAATGCTGCACAGATGGCTTGCGCCAAACAATCAGGATACAGCTGCCCAAATGGAGCCATGTTAGGTGACGTCACACTTTATGTATGATAAATAATAACAATATAAAAAAGATTGTCTTGTGTAATATATGTGTCCCTTTTCTTCTTTTAGCTTTCATTTAAGCATTTTATTGCTTGTTTTCTGTAACTCTAATTGAGGAATATGAGCAAAACACAGTTAAAAACGAATCTACCTGGTAGCACTTTACAAACATTCCTGAATAAAGAATAATATTAACAAAACAGAGTTTGACTAGCTCTTTCTTTTTTAATGTAAATTTCAAAAATTTTTCTAGAATTTCACCAGAGTACTGCATGCATAGTCTCCATCCCTGTTCCTCTCCTCCAATTCCTTTTTTGTCCGTCCTGCTTCCTCTCGTGTGTGTGTGTGTGTGTGTGTGTGTGTGTGTGTATGTGTATTACCTATTGAGTCTGTTTAGTACTGTTCATCTCTATGTGTGCTCAGGACTAACTACTTGGGATTGGAAAACCTATCAGGGGACTCATCCTTAGCTAGGGGTAAAGCCTTATCCAAATGTCTGTGTCCACACTGGTATGTGTCCTTGTATTCTTCATGTGCAGGCCATGTTTAGGAAACCGTGTCATCCCCGCCCCCTGTCGTGTCTAGAGGACGCTGGCTCGCAGCAGCAGACGCCCTGCTATTCTGGCTCCTGTAACCCTAGGGCAGGGCTGCACATGTACCACGTGATCACCAACTCTCTGCTTTTAATCAGCTTATATCTCTGTAATAGTCTCTGCTACAAAAAGAAACTAATTTGATGAGTAGTGATAGCTACATTTAGCTTTGGTATAAGGTACATTTTGAATACAATTAGAAATATTGATTTAGGAAGATGGCAGTAGTAGGTTCAGATCCATTACCACTTCACCCGTGAGTAATTGGCTTGACTAGCTGTTGATTTCATTTAATCTCACTATGTTTATCTTCTAGAAAATGATCTAGATGGTGAGGATAATGTAAAGCATATTTTAAAATATTTATTACTTATTCACTTAAGCTTATATGTTATAATCAGTATTAAGACTACAATTGGATATCACCAAAATTACAACTACCAAGTTTCTGTTGCTATTGTGAGGCCTCCATTTTCCTCTAGTCTCAACCCTAGCAACACGCAGTTCTTGTGTTCTGGAAGAATTCAGAAGAGATGTAGTAAACCAGTCAACAGTTTAATTGGAGCAAACGAGGAACCAGGCTGCACTCTTGAGTGAAAGAACAGGCTGTGCTGAACGCAGCAGTTCCCCCTGGTCCTAGTAGGCACAGAATATGTGCCTATTATTCCCTATTATATCTCCCTATTATTCCTCTACTTGTGCCCGCTTTAGGATAGGGACTTCTAGGGAAGGGCTAAGCTTTGCTTAGAAGCCCATTTTATACAGAATTAAGATTAAGTCTTTATTAAGTGTATGTACAATATTCAAGAATATTTCGCTAGTGAGATGGGTTAGTAGGTAAGCCTGACAACCTGAATTTGATCCTTGGCACCCATGCTACACGGGGAAAACTGATTTATGAAAGATACCCTCTCACCTCTACATGTGCCACACATATTCACGCTCTCACATGCACATGTGGAAACAAGGCAGTAATAATAATTTTTTTAAAGATGCAAGAACATTATAGAGGCTTAGGCACCTGTCATGTTGCAAAGTTCCTTAGGAGGAAGGGTTACAACAATCTACACGTGCTTCCATCAAGTGGAAGTCTCTGGCTGACTTGATCTGACCTAGCTGGCATGGTGCACTATTAGCTTTTGTGTCTTTTACCTGCAGCTGGGATCTTGGGCTGGCTTAGCCAAAGAGACTACCACTTTGTAGATCTTGTCAACCAACACTGTTCCTGCTACATCGTATTGCAGATGGTCCACTGGCCAGCTCCTCTCAAACTATGCTCCTTCTTAACAGCCCATCTTTCAGATTCTCTAGCCACTACATTTCTCTTGTGGAGTAAACATCAAGAGAGAGCAGAGTTTTATACTAAAGACATATATCACTGTAGTGGTACTCTGAGTTTGGATAACTACTGGCCCCATTTGATTAAAGTTTAGCATTAAAGGAGTCCTTAGTGGTCGCTGTAGTGTACCAACTAATGAGCCAAAAGATGCACATGTTCTAATCCTTAGTACCTGTAAATGTCAGTTAGAATGAAGCTCAACTTACTGGGAAGATTAGAGCATTCTAGGTTATCTTGTGGGTTTTAACTGTAATCACAGTATCATTAAGAGGGAAGCTGAGAAGAGTGACCACAGAAGCGGAGAAGGCAATGTGACAGTAGAAGTGAGAGTGCAGCGATGGTCAAAGGAAGATGACACCAGAAACAAAAAGAAATAGAGGATGAATCCCCTGGGGTTTCTAAAGAAAGCAGCTTTGACGATACTTTAATTTTAGACTCATTCTATTATTGGATTGCTGGTTTCTATAAAAAATTAATTTCTACTGCTTTCAACAACTAGGTTTATTATAGGAAGATTTGATTGGACTCACTAGCAATTTAATATGACATGACTTATTAACATTTAAAAGCTTAGGCTTATTGGTGATAGACTCTCAGCATCTAAATTACCCCAATTATTCTAGCCCATAACCAGTCACATGGTTAATTCTTTACCTCTTTGCTCAGCCCTGATACATCTGTTCCTTCCTATGTCATGCTGGTGAATCTCCCTCATCTGCCTTATTCTTCTAGACACCTGCTCTCCATGAGGAAGTTCCACCTTCCCTTTCCTGCTCAGCCATTGGCCATTAGCACTTTATTTCAGCCAACAGGCTAGTGAGAAGGAAGAACGTTTACAGACTATGAGGCCAGTGATGGGCAATAAGAATAACTACCAGGATCAGCTAGTACTCAGCTCTCCACTGGTACAGAGACAACCTTCACACATGTACCCAAACAGTTTACTGTAATTTGTAGTTGCTCATAAGAAACTAATATGGTTATTTTAAAGAAATAGTGCCCAAATTTTCTTTTGCACATGGTAGGAAGGTGGATGTGTGAGGAAAAGTATTCTGTAACATATTGGTGTATCTAATTTTATTTAGTGAGCTATGAATATCATCCTTACCCAAATAGGTCACATATTATCAGTGGCCCATAAGTTTTATTAATAGTTAAAGCTAAAATGTTAAACAGATTGAATAGATTGAGTAAGAGGGAATTCTGAAGTCCTTGTGTGTGTGTGTGTGTGTGTGTGTGTGTGTGTGTGTGTGTGTGTGTGGTGATTACAAAAAGATGGTTTTAGTTTCATTTCCTGTTTCTGTGATAAAATGCTCTGACAAAAGCAATTTAAATGAGAATAAGCTTATTCTGGCTCAGAGTTCCAGGGTGCAGTCTATCACAGCAGAAAAGTTATGGCACTGAGGGAACTGGTCAGCCATCCACAGTCAGGAAGCAGGACATGAATGCTGGTGTTCAGCTTGTTTTCTCCATTCTATAGACTCCAGAATAGCAGCCAATGGGATGGTATTCCCCTAGGGGACAAGGCTTTCAAACTCAATTCCCAGTCCACTGTAGTTTTCTTTTTACCACACTTTAGGAAAGTGTAAGCTAAACCAAGAGTGAATGTAAATATTTGATGAATTCTTAAATTTGTAGTTATTTATATTTTCATTAAGGATATTTCATGTTCTGTCCAACAATGTGAAAATATTTATAAATTCCAAAATGCTTATATACTTATAATTTACAGATTGCTAAAGCAATAAGATACTTGAATATTAGTTGTGTTTTGAAATGATAGGTATTAACATTTAAAATACTCAAAGAGTTCCCTACATCTTTCCCATTTTACCAAAACAACATTATTTTGATGAACCTTACTTATTAATTAATATAACAGAAAATGAAAACAAATATTTAGTTCATAGCTTCTTCATTAATTATAATATAAACTAGTCAGTTTCTCTTAAATGGATTAAAAGATTTATAATAAAGTAAAAGAAAAATGATATTTTTATAGATAAATAGAACAAAACCAAGAATATATGTAGAAGCCACCAGTTTCCAAAGTGACAATAGAGCTACAGTGGTTCTAAGACTATGAGTCAAGAGAACATAGTATTCTGGGTAATGGCCATGGTGATAAAACAACTGAAAATATTTTCATTATTTGTATCAGACAGTTTTTGGTTGAAAGGTAATAAAAATATGCTCATATATAATTAAACAAAATATAGTTTTCATACAGAACGAAGATAATTATTGTATCTGTTAAGTTTTTACATTTACCTGAAAGAATGCATCCTTTCTCTTTATAGGTATTCTCAGGAAAAGTGTTACATAATTTTCTGAGATTCTATCAAATAAGCAATCTTGATCTCTTCTGTCAGGCTTAAAGAAGACACATGCATGAAATTAGAGTCAATTACAATTTATATTAGAAAGTTATATGTATAATATTATGTGATGTAACCTAGTCTGTATATAATATATAAGAATATAGTCTATTTCTAAAGGATCGTTCAACTACTATGATGGAAGGGCCATTTGTTTTGAATGGCAGCTCTTTCATTTATTAGTTGTACCACATGGACAAGATTATATCCTAATTTCCAAGATGACAATCATATATATGTCATATCTTTTAAAAGTAGTAAAATTATAGTAGGGAAAAGAGCACATTTTACATAATTTTATATTTCAAACACTGGGCACAGTGTTTAGAACACAGAAAGCATGTAAACATTGGCAGAATGAACGAAGATTCTTGGACAGTTTCTCATATGAGAGACAATCAACAACTCAGCTGCTTTGCATCACAATGCAGGCTCTTTCCTTATCAGTAATCAGAGTAAAATTAAAGTGATTTAATAACAGTAACATCATAGTAAAATACCAATATAACAGCCTAGCTTCCTGCTCTATTAAATAATAAACAAAATAAATAGAATCTAAATTCACTGTAAAAGGAAGTTGAGTTAGAGTGTTGAAGCTCACAACACGAGCTGTAAAAGCACAAATGTAAAGTGTAAAGAGAAAAACTGTCAAATTTAGTGGTAATAGGAAACAAACAAACAGGGATTTATAGATAGGATTTTAATTTATAGATAGACTAGATAGGATTTTAATCCTAAAATGAATTTACAGATCATAATTTCCAGATCAGAATTTCATAAGATTCCATTTATTAATTGTTGATTTTAGTGCCTGAGCTGTTGGTGCTCCGTTCAGGAAGTTGTCCCCTGTGCCAATGAGTTCAAGGCTATCCCCTACTTTCTCTTCTAATAGATTTAGTGTATCAGGTTTTATGTTGAAGTCTTTAATCCACTTGGACTTAAGATTTTTGCAAGGTCATAAAAATGTATTCATTTGCATTTTTCTATATGCAGACACCAGTTTAGATCAGAACCATTTGTTGAAGAAGCTTTCTCTTTTGCATTTTTTTTTTTTTTTTTTTTTTTTTGGTTTTGGCTTCTTTGTAAAAAATCCGGTGTGTGGGTTATTTCTGGGTCTTCAATTTGATTCCATTGAACAATCTGTCTGTGTTAATGCCATACCATGTGGTTTTGATTACTATTGATCTGTAGTACAGCCTGAAATCAGGGATGTTGGTTGATATCTTCAGAAGTTCTTTTATTGTACAGAATTGCTTTAGCTATTCTGGGTCTTTCTTTTCTATATGAAGTCGAAGGTTGCAATTTCAAGGTCTATAAAGAATTGTGTTGGAATTTTGATGGGAATTGCATTTAATCTGTAGATTGCTTTTGGAAAGATGGCAGTTTTTAATATGTTAATCCTACTAATTCATGAGCATGGGAGATATTTCCATCTTCTGATATCTTCTTCCATTTCTTGTCATACAGGTCTTTCACTTAAGAGTTACACCAAGATATGTTATGGGTTTTTGTGGCTATTGTGAAGGGTGTTGTTTCCTTAATTTCTTTCTCAGCCCATTTGTCTTTTGAATACAGGAGGGCTACTGATTTTCTTTGAGTTGATTTTGTATCCAGCCACTGTGCTGGAGTTGTTCATCAGCTGTAGAAATTCTCAGGTAGAATGTTGGGAGTCACTTATGTATCATCTGTGAATAGCAATACTTTGACTTCTTCCTTCCCAATTTGTATCCTTTTGATCTCTTTTAGTTGTCTTATTGCTCTAGCTAGAACTTGAAGTACTATATTGAATAGATACAGATAGAATGGGCAGACTTGTCTTCTTGATTTTAGTGGAATTGATTTCAGTTTCTCTCTGCTTAATTTGATGTTGGCTATTGACTTGCTGTATATTTTTTTTATTACATTTAGATATGCGTCTTGTATTCCTGATCTGTCCAAGACTTTGAACATGAGGGGATGTTGGATTTTTTTTCAAAAGCTTTTTCAGCATCTATTGAGATAATCATATTTTTTTTTTCTTTCAGTTTGTTTATATGGTGGATTACATTGTTGGATTTTGGTTGTTGAACCATCTCTGTATCTCTGGGATGAAGCCTACTTGATCATGGTGGAAGATGTTTTTAGTGTATTCTTGGATTTGGTTTGGGAGTATTTTATTTATTTATTATATATTTATTTATATGGGCTTTTGAAGTAAGGTCTAATGATTCTTTGGCTTTCCTCAGTGTCTGTTATGTCCTCCTTTTCATTTCTAATCTTGTTAATTTGGATGCTGTCTGTCTGTCTTTTAGTTAGTTTGGCTAAGCATTTCTCTATCTTGTTGATTTTCTCAAAGAACCAGCTCTTGGTTTTGTTGATTCTTTGTATTGTACTCTTTGTTTCTAATTTATTGATTTCATCCCTGAGTTTGATTATTTCCTGCCATTTACTCCTCTTGGGTGTTTTTGCTTATTTTTGTTCTAGAGCTTTTAGATGTGCTCTTAAATTGCTAGTATGAGATCTCTCCAATTTCTTTATGAAGGCACTTATTGCTATGAACTTCCCTTTTAGCATGGCTTTTATTGTGTCCCATAAGTTTGGATATGTTGTGCCTTCATTTTCATTGAATTCTAGAATGTGTTTAATTTCTTTATTTCCTCCCTGACTCAGTGGTCAATGAGTAGAATTGTTTAGTTTCCATGAGTGTGTAGACTTTCTGTTGATTCTGTTGTTGAACTCCAGCTTTAACCCATGGTGGTCTGATATAATACAAAGTGTTATTTCAATTTTCTTGTATCTGTTGAGACTTGCTTTGTGACTGAGTATGTGGTCAATTTTGGAGAAGGTTCTGTGAGGTGCTGAGAAGAAGGCATATTCTTTTATGTTTGGATAAAATATTCAAAGGATAGAAGAGCACATAAACCCGTTTCCAACGAAAGGACAGAGAGCACATGAACCCATTTGCAATGAAAAGACAGAAGAGCACATAAACCCGTTTCCAACAAAAGGAGAGAAGGACATGTTTAACTAAAAGATAAATCAATATTAAATATTAAAAAGCATCGACAACCAATGACTATTAATTCCTGTTACTTTGATGTTGGTGGTAGTATGTGTATATTTGTATGTGATTTCCTTCTATTGTTTTTGCTGGTATAGAATGATTTATTTCCTGTGTTTTCTTGTTGTAGTTATCTTCCTTGCAATGGAGTTTTACTTCTAGTATTTTCTGTAGGGCTGGATTTGTGGAAAGATGCTGTTTAAATTTGTTTTTTTTTTTTTTCTCATTTTGGAATCTTCTTTTCTCCATTAATAGCGACTGAGATTTTTTGCTGGATATAGTAACCTAGGTTGGTATCTGTGTTCTCTTAGAGGCTGTAAGACATACGTTCAGGTCCTTTTAGCTTTTAAAGTGTCTGTTGAAAAGTCAGGAATAATTATGATAGGTCTGCCATTGTAAGTTACTTGACCTTTTTCCCTTGAAGCTTTTAATATTCTTTATTTGTTCTGTAGATTTAATGTTTTGATTATTATGCGGTGGGAGGATTTTCTTTTCTGTTCCAATCTAATTGGTGTTCTGTTATGTTTCTTGTATATTTTATAGTCATCTCTCTCTGTAGGTTTGGAAATGTTTCTTATATGGTTTTGTTGAAAATATTTTCTGGTCCTAGGAGCTGAGATTTTTTGCCTTCTTTTATACCTGTTATTCATAGATTAGGTCTTTCAGAGTATACCTGATTTCTTGGATGTTTTGTGTCAGGAATGTTCTAGCTGTAACATTTTCTTTGTCTAATGTATCACTTTTTTTTGTACCATCTAAACCCTGAGATTCTCTTTCCCCTCTCTTGGGTTCTGTTGGTCATGCTTATGTCTGTTGATCCTGTTCTCTTCCCTAGGTTTTCCATCTCCAGGTTTCCCTCGGATTGAGTTTTCTTTATTGCTTCTACTTCCATTTCCAGTTCTTGGACAGTTATATTAATTTCTTTCACCTATTTGATGTATTTTCCTGTATTTCTTTAGGGATTTATTCCTTTCTTCTTTAAAGGCCTCTATCATCTTCATAAGATTGAATTTAAAGTCATTTTTTTGTATTAAAATATCCTCGATTTGCTGTGGTATGATGGGCAGCTTCTGGTGTTGTGATATTGCCCTGGCTCTTGCTTGTTTGTATTCTTACGCTGGCCTTTAGTCATCTGGTTGTCTCTGGTACTGGCATGCCTCAGGTAATGGAGGCCAAATTGTGGGCCAGAACATGGAACATCAGGGAGAAGGTGCTGTTTACCTCTGTTGGAAGTGTTTGAAGGGAACTGGCTGGCAGGGGTTGGGGCAGGGATGAGGTTTACCTGGTAGTCCTTGATTGCCCCAGGCCTCTGGAAATATAGGTATGACTGTGGTCAGGGAGATGGAGTGGGCAGGAGGTAAGAGGTAGCTCACCACTGCTGTGCTTGCCTGGGGCACTCAGCAGGCAGAAGGATGACCTGCAGATGTCTCCCCTTCTGTCCTGGGTGACCATAGGCTCTGGGGATTGAGGCTGAGCTGTGGGCCAGGAATGGGGTGTTCAGGGCACTGACAGTATTTCTTGATGACTTATGAAATAGGCTCAGTTTCTGAGATACAGTTATTCAAGAATTAAATTACAATATATACATAATTTATTCAAGAAAGTCACCATGTTTTAACTATATAATCTTATACTCAACATTGTTGAAGAAGAGAACAGAAATTTACATAAGATGTAATGCTCTAAGCTATGTCTCTCATTAATATGGCTCAATCTAATATCTTCACAGATGATTATGTAGCAAAATGGTTGCTTCATTTTTGTATGTTTTATGCACACTTGTTAAGAAAATAGCTTGCTGTTAGGTGTTTAAGTTATCACTATATTCATCGAATCAAGCTATTCAACTTATGCTAAATTATTTTTGCCTTCCAGTGGTAAATCCTATGGGTCATGGTATATAATCCTTGTAACATGCTGCTGATTTTGACTTGATAGTAAATTTTTAAACTTGA